CAATGATTTGGAGATTTACTTCGGTGGATCTTATCAACTTTCACAAGCAATCTCATATTTAGGCGAAATGCTTGATGAAGATAATTCTCTGAATCTGAGTTTTCTGAAAAACGAACCAGAAATAGTTCAATTTCAAGTAAAATCGAGACATATGAACCGAAAAACGTACAAGTGTTACATCGAATATAATAATAATGAAAATGGAATTGACGCCATAAAAGGACATTGCTGCAACTGTGCCAACGGTTTAAGAACAATTGGGTGCTGCTCCCATGTAGCGGCATTGATTTATCACTTGTCTCATGGAAGATTTATGTCAAAAGTTTTCCGTCCGGCTGAAATATTGACAAATCTTTTTGATATTGACAACGTCTGCCCCATCGTAAATGAAGATAGCGATGAGGACTAAGAAAATTTATTACACATTACTACTACATTTTTTGGGTAAAAAGACACTTGTAATTTAAACTACTTACTATTAAAATGTTTTCTCTCTCATCTTACTTGTTTTTTTCATTCAACTAAACACTTTTTTATTTAAAAATAACTAAATTTTTAAGAAAAACTTGCTAAAAATAATTTGAGATTTTTTTAAAAGATGTTTTCCATAGACAAGAAAACTATTTGTTGATATAAATGTTTTGTCACTCACAGTATGCATATTTAACAGTTTAATCATATTTTTTTCCGAAATACGTTATACCCTCATAAAGAAGTAGATGTTAAATCAGCAAAAGTGACAATTTTTTGACATTTTTACCCATTAAAATGCAATATATTTATACTTTTATTAATTTTCGTAATTAGTACTTGAATTTCTTCATTACTGTGATAATAATTATAGTAAAAATACTCGCAATATATATTTATCAGTGATAAATTAGACGTCATGGGTCTAAAAGTGACGAAAACAGGTAAAGTTTACGGAAAATCGAATTTTTCAAGGTGTCGCACATCATCAAAAAATCTGAAAAAATTCATGAAAGTAGGCTTAAATACACTCTAAAAAATGGTGCATAGAAAAATTTTGCCCTCTTTTAAAAAGTTGAAAAAAAAATTATTTTTAATTTTTAAGAAATTTTTTTAGCCAATATAAACGAGGTCTAGGAGGTCCAAAAAAATTAGGCACAAACCACACTATATACACTAGCTTCATAAATTTTTTCAGAATTTTTTATCAATTAGATTAGGAGAAAAAAAATTTTTTTCAAAAAATTCACTTTTACCCCTGCAAACAAGGGGCAAAAGTGGTTTAGGTGTTAGGTACCTTATTTTTACACACCAATGAACCTTTTTACGATGCTAAACAAAAAATCCAGAGATAGGGGCATTTTGCCTATCTTAACCGAGGATACTCTTTTTTTTTGTCAAATTTTCGTTAAAAATAATTAATTAACGAATTATTAAGTATGACATTATGTTATTAATAATTATTTATGACATTAATTATTTATTAAGTTAATTATTTGGCATATTTAAAATAAAATATAATATCTAATAAAATCAAATTTTTCAAATGTTCCCGCGCTGCGCTGATGGCTCAGTTCTGGACTTTAGTTCTCTCAACGCCACAGGGAGGGCGAACATCAGAACTGTTTCTCGCAGTTGAGGTGCCGTTAGATTGGTATATAAGCAGTGATCGAAAATTTTTTTCTTGTCGAAATTTTTTTTTCTGCCCGATGTCTCTCCTATGTATTGGATTTGAGACAAATTCTTTTTTGGAAGAAATGGTTTCACTAATACTTTGATGTTTGATGACCATTTTTTAATTTTAATTTAATTATTAATTATTAATTTTTCCCATTGGGCTTTTAAATTAATTTGCTTTCTTTTTATTTTTCCGTATTTATGCTCCTTCTAAATTTTCAGAATATTTAACGATTACATTTAACAAATCTTGATTTTTTAATTTCCTTAAATATCCCTTCACAATATGCCAAGAATCTTTAATTTTAATATTTAACAGAAATTCAAATCTAATATTCAGCCAACCTTGTGAGTGACCTTTATTATGCGCGGACATTTAAACATCAACTCAACTTCGTTTGGACCTCGCGACTCAAGTTTCCGAACCTCGTCAAGCGAGGTTCAGTCAAGGTTCAGGGAAGTTTCGGTGCTGTCCGGGTTGATTTCTTGAAAACTTAAATGTATGTAATTTATGCCATTAGTGCATGAAATAGTTATATTTTTAACAGTTTCGTATAAAAATTCCATTAAAACCGTAAAAAATTTTTGCGTTTAAGGTGGCGTAACCCCTTAAGAGGGAAGTCTGGTCCATCCGACCATTTTTTATAATGCATTTTTTAATGATATATATTCTTGTTACATAAAATTTTTGAACACAAAAAAATATGTAGAAGAAAATTACTCAAAAAATATTTAATTTGAATATACATATATATAGATATAGCAGTGACTACCCATGCAGCGCGTAATCGTACTGTAATATTACAGAAGAATTAAATGAAATATTTGTAATATTACAGCTATATTAAAATGTCCGCCTCATGGTAATATTACATGTATTACTGAGGGAATATTACACGGCAATAATAAAAAACTTTAAAAATCGCAATAAAATTTTTTTTTATTAATTTTTTGAATAACTGTACATATTTTGAAGTAATTGATACATAATGAACAAAATTTCTTTAAAATTGAGCAAATATTAATAAAAAATGTGTTCTATTATTTGCAACATTTGAAATTAATTATTATTATTTATTAAATTAATTTTATAAAAATAAACTGAAATCCGAAGTGACAACATTCCCATGGTACAATGAAAAACGATTAAAAAAACAGAAAATAATAATTTTATGAGAGGAATAATAAAAAATTCCCATTTCGAAACAAAAAATAAAAACATTATTTGGTAAGTTTCAAACAACACTCGTTTTAAAAAATACTGTTTCAATTTTGTTTGTTATGTCAAAATCGCAATTCTAAAATTTTTCTTATTATTATTATTTTGTTAAACAATAAAAATAGAAATAAAAATAACTTAATTCACAAAATAACTTAACATGTGAATACCTATAATTTAGTTTACTAAATAGTTTAAATTGAATTCTGAATTTTAATAATATTACGCAATAAGTACATTAAATTTAGATTTCTATGTATTCGAAGGATTTCCAAACGTTGTACAAAGACTATTACTGCGATCCTGGCTTTGTGAAAATGGGATGAATAGTTTTGTGTTTTACCTCTTTGCAAATACCATCGGGTCGAGCAAGACTGAGAAATTCCTGTAAAGTTTTTTAGTATTTATCATCCTGGTTTATTGTTTTGTCTCGAAGACAACTTCTTTGTATATCTACTAATAAATCATAATGATTTAAGAAAATCAGCACCGATGATAGGTGTATCAACATCGGCGATAATAAAACGCCAAACGAAATCTCGACAAAGGTTTAAATTTAACGTTAAATGAATTGGACCATAGGTATCAATTGATTGACTGTTAACTGGGAGTAAAACATATTTAGATTTTTCTTTCCAACCACTTACTAGTCTTCGCGGAAAAACACTTAAATTGAAACCAGTGTCAATTGAAAATTTTAATTTTGACGAATTATCAATGAGAAAAAAACGGTGGGATTTTACTAAAGATTTATTAACCACCGCTAATGAACTTTTTACGGGTTTTCCGAATCGAAAGTACAGCCTGGTCTACAATCTCTGGGTGCTTTACCAAATTTCTTGTGATACCAACAATAACTACTGCTATTATTATGATTATTATTTTTGTAACGTTAATGTTTTGATTTGAATAATTTTTGTTATTACATCTCGGACGCGAAATAGATCTAGATCGATATTTTTGTTTAGAATTATAAACTAAATTTGAAACCTGTTTTGTAAGAGCAGCAACTTGCTCAATAAACTGATTAAAAGTTTCTTGAGACATTGACGCTGTCACGGGGGATTTGTTTACATTAGAATTTGCAGTGTTACCTGTAGTAGTAGTTGAGATACTTGCTGAAGAATCAAATCAAATACTGTGTCTGCCAATTCTCCGAGTTTTTCCAAGGTCGTGTCAGGAGGTTGTGTAGCCAAAACAGGTCGGAGTTGATCGGGGAGTCGACTAGTCCAAATGAAATCATTAGTGACCTTGTCATGACCTGAACGCAATAATTCTCTGAGAAGTTAAGATGGTTTTCTATCACCTAATTATTCTCGTTCGAGTTTTTGTTTAATATCATGATTTTTTGATTTAGATAAGCGACTAATTAAATGATCTTTAATTAGTGTGTAGGGTGCTTCACTATTTTTAAAGTCACGAATTTCCTTCAGTACTTAGTAATCTCTGTAGTTATATTTGCCAAATAGAACATATTTTCCATCTGCTTAAACCAGAGTAATGGTGCATAGCTCCAAAATTCAATTGGTCGCACTGAAATGGCTTGTAAATTTGCGAATGAAGCCCCGAGTGTAACATTTGAAATTCCAGCAGCTTGTTGCTGCGATGTTGTCAAACCATTATCATCGGGCATATTTGAGTCGTAATGAGAAAAAATAATTATATATAAACAACACTATCATCACTTATGAAACACACAAAAGATTTTTAAAAAAAATTTAAATTTTGTACACTCCCGCAGTACAACGTCTATGGTTTAAGGCCGTATTTATTTTAAAAAATTTTTATTTAACTGAAATAACTACTGTTTCGATTTACCCCAACTAACCCTCTCAATATCACAGGAATATTCCATCAATATCACAGGAATATTCCGCTCAATATCACAGGGATATCCCCTCAATATTACATGAATTTCACGGGAATATTCCCTCAGTATTATACGAATATCACGCGAATGTCACAGGAATATCACCGTGGAATATATATATATATATATATATATATATAGATTAAAAAATCTGTATTAAATCCTGCCATAAATTCTTATATTAACAAAATAATTCTTTTTCTAGGAAAACTTTTTTAACAAAGACTTTTCTGTGATAACTAGATAACATTTCTTTTATTATAGGACGGTTTTGTGGAACTGGGAACATTCATGAATCTATCATTTCAACTGGAAGTAGAATGTTGGTAACATACATTACATCAAATCGACAGAGTGGTCATAGAGGATTCACTGCAAACTATGAGGCAGTATGTGGAGGTGATGTTGACTTAGAAGGCGTAGGTCATTTGGAATCACCAAACTATCCTGAAGAATACCAATCAAGTAAAGAATGTATATGGAGATTATCAGTTCCTCAAGACTATCAAGTAGCTTTAAAGTTTCAATCCTTTGAAATAGAAAATCACGACAATTGTGTTTACGACTTTGTTGAGATTCGTGATGGACATGACGCAGATTCTCCTCTTATTGGTGTTTATTGTGGTTATAAAATACCACCAGATATTCGCTCAACTGGAAGTAAGCTGCTGGTTAAGTTTATCAGCGACAGCTCTGTACAAAAAGCTGGATTTTCAGCAATATTTATGAAAGGTATAATTCTAAAGCAAAAAATTTTGAATTGAATTAGTCTATACAACATATTTCCAAAGTATCTAGACAATTCTACAATTTTTTTACCTGGTCAGTTAAGGGATAATGCCCAATTTTTAAGTACCTAATTCCATTCAGATCTTCTGTATAAAATAGCATCAAATTTAAAAATTCTTACGTATTTGTACTTTATTCTTTTTTTAGAGTTTGATGAATGTGCACTTACTGAACATGGTTGTGAACATGATTGTATTAATACATTAGGAGGATATGAATGCTCATGTAAAGTTGGATTTGAACTTCACTCAGATGGCAAACATTGCGAAGGTGAGTATGCTTAGAGTCCAATGACGTAGATTTTCATGAATTTATAAATAATGGATTAGAAGTATTTTTTAAGATGCTTGCGGAGGTATATTTGATTTTAAGAATGGCACTATAACCAGTCCCTCTTTTCCGGAATCATATCCTGGTAATAAACATTGCATTTGGGAAATTATTGCGCCACCACAGTACAAAATAACATTAAATTTTACACATTTTGACTTGGAGGGTAATAACGTGTATCAACAAGAATGTGAATATGATTGGGTTGAGATATCCAGCAAACTCGGAGATGACATTTTAATAAAACATGGTACATACTGTGGAACTAGATTACCACCATTATTGACATCAGAAGGCAACACATTTAAAGTTGTCTTTGCTTCTGATAACAGGTAATACAATTTATTTTTTTAATGCTAGTTTTTGGAAATAGGACAAGGAAGAACTAAATGATTTGCGAATAAAAAGACAAGTTTTTTTAGGGTTAGTCTGAGAAAGATTCAACATTTGTCTTTAAGTGACTACGGTTGACAGGATTTATATTGGACAAAGGAATTGTACAATTGGTATTGACAAGCTGATATCAAAAAACTTCGACGTTAAAAACTTGTTGGAAAAAATGTTTTTTTAAATAATACACTTATATTCGTTCGCGCGAAGTTTCCTTTATTCACGCATGCGTATAATATTTAAAGTTTTAACTTTTTGTCGAGTCTGAATATCGCTATCGTTCGTGCTTCTTTTTGGCTGACCTGTTCTAGCATTAATGTATACTTGTCGGAGGTTTTACCTCCGTCACTTCGATCATGAATTCCAACGCGGAAACAATCCCCTCTGATCAACACTATCCATACACTTAATTATGACAACACATTGAAAAGTCATTGCACAATTTTTATTTAGCGTGATACCAAGTCCGTTGACTCACAAAAAAAGTTTTCGGGACTATGTCTGTCGGTCGTATGCTTCATTCATTGCTTCCCAAACAAATTGTGCATATAAATCAATGTGCAAGCGGTAAGTTGAAAATAGTATTAAAATCGGATCAAGGTGCGATCAAGCTTCTGAATGCCCTGTTACTAAAAGATAAAGGTTTAATCGGTGTTATCCCCGCAAGTTTTGTCTCCTGTCAAGGAATCATGAACAATGTAGACACAGATATCACCATTGAGAACATTCTCGAACATGGCAAAGTCATGAGCCCACATGTTAGTTAACAAGATAAAAATTCTTCGAGCTTCACGTTCTAATAGAAAAATCTTTGACCAAAATCCAAAACTTTCAATTACATCCCATCCAAAACCGTTCTACTCACTTTTCAAGGCACTATTCTCCCTCAAAGAATAGCTGCATACAAAGGCTCTAGTCTGATTTGTTGATACATACCGAATTCCAGAATGTGCATGAAGTGTCTCAGATTTGTTCACATCGCGAAGGACTTTCTAAGAGGTTATAACCTTTCCTTCTCGTCTTCGGAAGAGATCGAAGAGCCAGCCCCCCATCTCAAATAAGGAAAAGAAATAACTCCTTTTTTGCAACACAATGGTATACTGGACAAGATAACACCAGCGGTTTCTCAACAGTTTCGCTCTTTCTTCATCGCTGCTCTCACTGCATCCTCGATCACCCACCGTTATGCCTCCTACCTCAAACACAGAATTTCTTTCTTCGTTCTTATTTCAATGATCAATGAAAAAGTTAATAATATCTCCTCTAACTATCCACAAGAATTGATGAAACGCAATCAGAATTTCTTTAAGACAATTACAGAAAACCTCGACTCACAATTCATAATTAAATAATAATAATTCATAATGTAATGAAATTGCAGTTGAGTCTTTAATAAGACACACAAAAAAAACTTTCTCGCAAATTTGCAAGAAAGTATACTTTTCCTTTGCGATTGTTTCTTAAAACCTAACAAAAGAGACAAATCAAATACCCCGAAACCTATTTACAACCTCATCCTAGAATACTCACAATGACCCTCTAGGTAGATATTCAAGCAGGTAACTGCCCACATTGTTTAAACATTGAAGAAGACTTTGATCACGTTCTCTGGTTGTGTCCTAGATTGGACCCCTCTCGACTGGACCTGATAAAAGCCCTCTCAAAAACTTTAAAATGTCCCACTCCTTTCAGTTTTGTTCAATTTTCCTTTTGCTTCATGCATAATATTCATACTATTCAAAAATTATAATAGAAATTTTGATATTGCAGTTTACAAAAGTCTGGATTTGCTGCTACATTTTCTACAGATATGGATGAATGTGCTAATAACAATGGGGGATGTCAACATGAATGTAAAAATACTATAGGTTCTTATCAATGTTCTTGCCATAATGGTTTTACTCTCCATGACAATGGTCATGACTGTAAAGAAGGCGGATGCAAATATGAAATAACTGCTTCTGCAGGCACCATAACATCACCAAATTATCCTGATTATTATCCTGGTCGTAAAGATTGCGTATGGCATTTTACAACGACTCCTGGCCATCGAATTAAACTGGTTAAGTAAAAACAATAACTTTGTCGATTCTGATAGAAAAAAGTACGCTCATTACGAATCTGATGTCAGTTTTTAAAATTTCAAAAAATAAGGATCCTTTATGATTTTTTAAAAATTGTTCACATTCGCTAATAACTCGGGGATATTGGGAGTCGACGATTACAAATTATTATGTGTCATGAGATTTTAGAAGTGTAAAATGGCGAATCTATCCCCGCTTACAAAATCCGATAAAAACCATGACAGAACCTGATATGTTTTATCATGGTTCCTACTTACAAGGAGACCTACTATTGGTCACCGGCCTTAAACATCTGAGCCATCAGAGACAGATAAAATCCTTTACAAAGTTTACGAACTTCTCAGTGGGCACACTTGCTCAAAAGACGTCCTGAGGATGTCTTTTTGCGGACGTCTTTTGAACTTATTTAGTTTAGTTTATAAACGGCATAATACACCTTTTTTACAGTATGAGTAGTTAAATATATGAACACATACCCACATAGCACCTTTATTTCCAAGAAGTTTCCAGGAAAATATTCAAGGTAACTTCGGAAGTTTCCACTGGTCACTTTGTAGAAACTTCCTGTTTATTTCCCTGAATATGAAAATGTTAAATTTTAAATCGAAAAAATTTTTAAATAGAAAAATTTAAGGTTATATAATAAAATCGTATTCCTTGCATGAAAACGAATCGATTGGTATATATGAAGTATACATTTAAGGTAAATTTAATAAATTAATGAAAGTTAAAAAAAATCCCAATTTAGCTGAAAAATTTTGTATTTATTTAAATTCCAGTTTAAATATAAAATAATTGTGTTCCTTGCATTGAAACAAACCTATATAATTGTAAATAATTATAACTTATATATTATTTTTCATTAATTTTTAGAAATTTCAGCTAGAATGTGAATTTTTGATTTTCTAACTTCTATTAATTTTTTTTTAACTCAAATGTATACTCAAATGTTTATATTATTATATTATTAATGTATGTTTATATTAATGTTAATGCTTTCTCTACCAGGAAGCAAATTTTTTTGCTGATCGTAAAGAGGAAGCAAAATGTTTATGTAATGAACATCTGAATTTACATCTTGTTTTATTATATATTTATTATTTTATTATTATTATATTATTTTTTTTATTATTTAATATTTTTTAAACTTTATTTATTACTTAAGATAATAAACATGAAAATTAAATTTAAAAATATAATAATAAAAAAAATTAATTATTTCATTTTCTTCCTTCATTTTTGCCTAAACTTATGTTTATTTATTATTAATATTAACGCAGAATTTTTTTGAAATAAATTTGGAGGGACTGGGGATTGATCCCGGGTTCGTCAAATTTTGTTCCAGAAATTATACAAAATCATAATTCCGGTAGAAATTTTTCTGTAGAATCGAAATCTGACATTGGCTTTCGAATTAAAATCAGAGGAATCTCAGAAAATCCGGAAAACTGTAAATATTCTAAAAACAATCTCACCGTAGCGTCGTTTTTTCCAAATTGTCTGTTAAATTTTATAAAAATAAGAGCAATTTCAAAATTTATCGAAATTTCCCAATAAGTAACAGTTACATTTTCAAATTTACAAAACAAAATATTATAGAATGAACATTTTTTTGGCAGTGATTAAAATTTTGAATTTAAAAGTTAACAAAATCTAGGGTATGTTTACGACGTTTCTACTGATTTTAAATTTTCTGATTCAAATTTGCTTTCTGTTATTAAATATGTAAATATATAAACAATTTTTAATTCGTTTCTAGTCTGTTTTTTTCCGAAGAAATTTGCGCCTGCGCCAATTAATCTTGGCTTTTTCACAAAGAACAATTTGTATATTTCGAAAACCAACGCAGCAGTTTTGTGGAATTTACCACTGTTGTTTGTAGATGGCGTAAGGAATTCTGTGTTTAATACAGAAAAAAAATTTCGACACAGAAAACTTGAAAAAAACGACAGTGAGATTGCTTTTAGAATATTTACAGTTTTCCGGATTTTTTGGGATTCCTCTGCTTTAAATTCGAAAGCCAATGTCAGATTTCGATTCTACAGAAAAATTTTTACCGGAATTATGATTTTGTATAATTTCTTGAACAAAATTTGACCATGTGAAGTTGAATTTTACTTTACATAATTATAAAAACCAGTTTTTTTAATTTAGCGCTTAAATCACAAAAATTGAAATTAAAAAAAAAGGGCCCGACGGATTTTGATTTTTCTTGTTGAAAAATATTCAGTGAGGTACCCCGAACAAGTTGCAACAGGAATTTTTGAAAGGGAGAATGTTGAGGGTTGAGATTGGTTCCAGGGTACCGTGCTGAGCGGACGTATTTGTTTTTGCTCCGTCTATTTCAGTATACTGTTTATGTAAACTGTTGGATATAGTTTAATTTTAAATTTCATTGTTAATAATTGTTAAACAATGGCTACCAATGATAATTTGTTGAAGTTGCTCTTCGATATAAAAGCCGATGTGAGTGATAATAAAAATTCGTTAAATAATGTAGTCTCGGACATTGCAAATTTGAAAAGTGTAAGTGAGAGTCTGTTTTCGAGTTTGGAGGACTGTAGTGAGGATTGTAAAATATTAAGGGAAGAAAATTCTCATTTAAAGAAGAGATTGGAGAAGGCTGAATCCGCCATACAGTACCTACAAAAAAAGGAAAGAGAAAAGAATCTTATTATGTTCGGGGTGGAAGAAAACGAGGATGAAGACTTGCAGAGTAAAGTGATCGACATCTTCACTTCGGTTGAACTGAATATAAAAAAAGATGAAATTCATGCAATCAAAAGACTTAACTCTAGAAAAGGACCAGGGCCTCTTTTGATTTTATTTAAAGAGATGCAATCTAAAACTTCGGTTTTTAAGAACATTGATAAATTAAGAAATCTCAAGATTAGTGTTACCAACGACCTATCTAAAGAACAGAGAATTGAGGGCAATGAGACCCGTGCTAAGCTCTTTGATTATAAACATTCACTCGAAAAACTCGGGAAAACTGCTCAAGTTCAAAATACTAAATTAATTTGTGACGACCAAGTATATGATATACAGATGGCCTTGGAGTATATACAGTCATTAACAGCTGATGAAAATAAATCGGTCAATACATCTACGTTTACACCTAATAGAAAGAGGGGGAGGCCGGCGGGATCAAAGACTAGCCCCTCAAAGAAGAAGAAAAATAGTAAAATAATTCCGACGGCGCATCCTTCCAACACTTTGAAAGATTATTTTCAAAAAGATTCATCCCTTAATAATGAATCGAAAGATGGTAACACCGACGATTGACAGCTCATTCATAGATCATCTCCCAGGATTATTTATTGGAACCCCAGGGGGTCCAAAAATATTTCAGATCTCTTGGAAAATTCATCCAGTGAGAACATTATATGTACTACTGAAACCTGGGCGACAACTTCACCTCGGATAAGTATCACTCACTCAAATTATCAACCAGAGACAATATTTTCACAGGCAGCGAAAGGCGAAGGAAAAGGCAGAGCCAGGGGCGGATTGCTGATTCAACTCAACGCGCGTCTGTATAAGGTAGAAACGTTGTATAAGAATAGTTCAATTATTTTTATTTCTGTATGTGTGAGAAAGAGTAATATTAGATTTATTGTGGGACTTCTATATTTCAACCCAAATTCTACTATTTTGGAAGGTCTTGAATTGTTTAATGAAATAATATGTAGTTTAAATAAAAATCTTGTAAAATCCCCCATCTTCATTGGAGGAGATATGAATAGTAGAGTAGGGAGTTTTAATCAGATTGAAGAAGGAATAAATTTATTAAACAATAATTTGAGTAATGTTAGATTAACTTTAGATATAGAGAAAAATAACAGGGGAATTAAATTGATAGAGAATTTTGAAAGTTTAGGAATGATTTTATTGAATGGCAGAACCACGGGAGATGTTCCGGCTACCTTTACATATTCGAATTCAGTAGGTGGAAGGTCGATAATTGATTTGGTGTGGACAAATTTTTATAGTACTCATTTAATTGAGAGTTTGGAAGTTTTAAATTTGGTTACAGGATCGGATCGTTTTCCGCTGGCTCTGTCATTAAATGTCGCGGGAGAAAAAAGCCTCGCAATTAGTAAGTTTAAATGGAAGGAAGATCTCGAAAACGAATTTAAAAAAGTTATGTCTTCATCAGTCAAATCTACGCTTACCGATGGTGATATCGATTTTTTAGCTGTGAATTTAACAAGTACAATTAAAAAAATGCCAAAGATTTGGGCATGATTTCAAAGATAAATAATAAAATTAGTATAACAAAACCATGGTTTGATAAAGAGTGTAGAGAGAGTAAGATGACCGTGAAATTAATGCTAAAAGAGTGCAGATCGCAAAAGTTTTCTCCAGATCTTACCAAAAAATATAACGATTTAAAAAAAATTCACTCGAGTCTATTGCAAAAGATAAAAAAGATTTATAACGAAAACATTATCGAAATTTTGGCTTCTGCGAAGGACCCACCTTCTTTTTGGAAGATAGTAAACAAATCCCGACGTAAAATGAATATCCCGGATCAAATAGATTTAGAAACGTGGGCAACTTTTTTAAAAATTCCTTTCCCTCTAGAAATTCTCAAAACTATTTGTTAAACAACCCCGAAGTTCATAATGAAATTTTGGACGCTTATATTATAAAAGAAGAAATTTTAAATATTTTTAAAAAATGTAAGCTTAACAAGGCCCCAGGCCCAGATGAAATCTCTTATGAGTTCCTGAAGAATCTGCCTGACAACTAGATTAATTATATTGTGGAATTATTCATTAGAATTATGATTGAGGAAAAAATTCCGCAATCATGGGCAGAAATAGATATAGTAATGATTTATAAAAAAGGTAATAAAAATGATTTATTAAATTATAGACCAATTGCTTTATTAAACTGCATTCTGAACCTTTTCACGCAGGTCCTCTAGAGAAGGCTCAATAAGTGGATTAAGATACGTAATTTGATCCCTGAACTACAGTCCGGTTTTAGAGAAAAGCGTAGTTGTTTAGACAATTTGTTTACTTTAAACGCAATGATACAAAACAGACTGAGTTTGGAGAAGGGAAAATTGTTCGTATTATTCATAAATTTCAAAAGGGCTTTGCCTTCCCTATCTCACTATTTGATTAAAAAAAAGTTGTACGCAACAGGGGTGGGAACTAAAGTTATAAAAATTTTGATGAGCTTTTACTCAGAAGCAAAAATTGCAGTGAAGGGTAAAGAGGGCAGATCAGATAGAGTAGAGGTTACTGAGGGGGTAATGTAAAGGGAAACTCTTAGTTCAATGATATTCAATCTATATATAGCAGATCTTGAAGAATATTTAATTAATAGAGGAGTAAGAGGCGTTTCAATAAACTGTAGAAAGGAAATTTTAATAGAGGCCTATGCAGACGACATAGCAATTTTATCTGATAACCAAGAAGACTAGAGACAGGAGAGATAACTCAAGTGGTGGGGGTAAGGTAGAAAGTGAGGGCAGGGTAGGAGTTTCTGTCTGCAAGTAGTTCGTGTGGTAGTCACAGAATGGGTTTCTGCGCATACATGTGTGAATACATTTAGGTTATGTTACTTTGTTTGGTAATGAAATGACACGTGATTTTTAATAAATTGAAATTAATGAGTCTTAGTTAGCAAATCCATTTTATAATACAATCAAGTATACCAAATTAGATTACTGACAGGTTGTCAATTTTTGATTAAAAATTTGAACACTCTTTAAATTAACTTTTGACAAGCTTTGTCGTTTGCTTTGTTGTCTCTCCAGCTGTATAACGGATCTGACGTCACAAGTTACACATCCGGATGCGCAGAAGCCTAATTTTGACCAACGGCACGAACTACTTGCCAAAACCGCCACCTACACTGCCCTCGAAACTTTCTTCACAACGCTCTGTGGAAATGCGCCACAGTTACTTCTCCTGTCTCTAGTCTTCTTGCTGATAACATAGTTGAAATGATTAAAATTATTAGAGTTTTAGATGAATATTGTCAGGAAAATGAAGTAAAAATTAACAAAGATAAAACTAAAGTAGTGATCTTCCAGAAGGGAGGGCATGGTCATACAAAAAAATATCCTTCCTTAAAGTACGGGGATGAAACAATTGAAATAGTTAACTCATATAACTATCTGGGAATCCCTTTTGCGAAATCTGCTCTCTTCTCGAATGCGTCACAGGTGGCAATCAGTAAGGCAAAATTGGTGTTGGGAACTACAATTCCTTAATTAACAATCTTAATCTGAGTTTTTGGAAACCAGTAGAAAAGTTTTTTAACAGTTTTGTTGCTAGCACCCTTTTGTACGCAGTCATAATCTGGGGTCTTAGGTATTTAGAGGACTTAAAAAAAAAAATACAATTAGAATATTACAAACGAGTTCTTAATCTCCCTCAAAATAACCCAAATTACGCGGTTCGAGTAGAGACTGGTAGCCGACACATTTCGTTAAGAATTTTTAAAATGGTATTAAACTGGCTGGAAAAATTATTATATAACATGGACGATGAGCGTTACCGAAGAATATGTTTTGAGAGAATTAAAATTTTGGCTGATAGTAATAAGAAAGTCGATGCGAGATATAATTGGGCTTACCAAGTTAAAACCATATTTTTTAATAGCATAGGAGCGGAGGAGATCTGGAGTTTCTTGTCTGCTGACGTTTTAAAAATGAATAAAAATAAATTGTTGAAAAAATTTGAAAATTTTTTAGTCAGTCAGGATCTGGAGAGACTCCAGAACTCCTCTTCTCTGAAATTTTATTCGCATTTGTCTTTATATGATGGTCTCCAACCGTATCTGGAAACGAGATTGCCACTTCCGATTATCAAGATTTTTGCTCAGATTTGAATATTTGAATATTGAATATTTTCCAAACCCGAATAATATCTAAAAACAAATGTCTTAAGTTCTCGAAAGAATGCAAGTGTAACTGTGAGGAACGGAGACAAATTTTCGATGAATATCATTTAATTATAAATTGTAAATCTTTAAGCGATATTAGGAAAAAATATTTTAATTGTGTCGACGATGAAGAATTAATGAGAAATACTTTGTGGAAATCATTGAATGATAGAAGCCCATCATCAATTAGGAAAGTAGTAAATTTTATCAAAGAAATATTAAATTGAACATATTTTTAAGATAAAAACTGTCATTTAATGGAATACATACACTATGAAGAATAATAAAAAAAAAAGTAAAATAAAACTCCTTTGTATGGATTATAAATCCTTTAACAAATAAAAATAAATATATATTTTATAAAATAAAAATTATTAAATAAATAGAAAAATATTAAAGATTTTATCTTTAATGATATTTATTTTACTTTACTATTTTAAATTTACTGAATATTTTCATAAAAAATTAGAAAAAAAATATAAATTTAATTAAGAAACTATTAATTTATTAAAATTTATTCTTTTTAATAAATAAATTTTAAAAAAAATTTTTCTACGAAATATTAATATTGACAAATTTAGAAAAATCAATTCACGATTGGTTTCTAACTAAATTATTTATTTTTTAAATATTTAAACATAAAATAATAAACTATATAAAAAAATACGCATAATAAATTTTTTTTAAAGAAAAGAAAACAAATATTTATTTACCTTGATTTATTAAATTAATTACATACACTACCCTCGGAAATTGTCGGTACGACTAACGTGCGAGGAGTAGAAATTCGGTGCTGACTTTAAAGCAAGATATTTTACGTTAGAAAAAAAGTTAGAGATTTCTAACTCAGATGGTTCGAAAGCTGATAAAATTCTGCTTCTGAATGTATATCAAGAAAATTTTGTTCTTTTAGTAGTACAAAACTACAGTAACGAAAATACAGTACGAAAATACAGTACGAAAATTGCATAATTTTTTTCTTGAAATATTTTCGGTGTTTTAAATACAAAAAAAAGAAAACAATTTTCTTGATATACATTCAGAAGCAGAATTTTATCATCTTTCGAACCATCTAAGTTAGAAATCTCTAACTTTTTTTCTAACGTAAAATATCTTGCTTTAAAGTCAGCACCGAATGGAAATTCCTCGCACGTTAGACGTACCGGCAATTTCCAAGGGTAGTGTATGTAATTAATTTAATAAATCAAGGTAAATAAATATTTGTTTTCTTTTCTTTAAAAAAAATTTATTATTAGTACTTTTTTTATATAGTTTATTATTTTATGTTTAAATATTTAAAAAATAAATAATTTAGTTAGAAACCAATCGTGAATTGATTTGTCAATAATTAAATTTGTCAATATTAATATTTCGTACAAAAATTTTTTTTTTAAATTTATTTATTAAAAAGAATAAATTTTAATAAATTAATAGTTTCTTAATTAAATTTATATTTTTTTCTAATTTTTTATGAAAATATTCAGTAAATTAAAAATGTTTTTTTATTATATTTATAAATTTAATTTTCATGTTTATTATCTTAAGTAATAAATAAAGTTTAAAAAATATTAAATAATAAAAAAAAATAATAAATATATAATAAAAAATAATTTATATTAATAAATTATATAAAATAAATATATATATATTGCAATTACTGCAGACAATTTTATAGTAAATTCTTGGAAAATAATAATTTAAAAATCTATTTTCCTGGAAACTTCCTGGTAATAAAGGTGCTGTGTGGGTATATAAAAGAAAAATATTTGAAATATAACAATTTCATATAATAACTTGTGACAAAAGACGTCTTTTGTCAAATTGACAAATTGAGTTTCCCGGCTGAAAAAACTTGTACAAGAAAATGTACAAGTTCTTGTACATGTTCATTAATGAACTTGTACATTTTCTTGTACATGTTCAAGTAATGTTCTTGAACAAGTTCAGCATCCGGAATTGAGACATGTTCTTGTACCAGAACTTTTACAAGATCTTGTACAAGAAAATGTACATGTTCTTGTACATATTTTTTGTGCAGGTTTCATGTACAAGTACTTTTACATGAACACGTTTATGTTCTTGTACAAGAACATTTGTTTAAAAATGTTTTTGAAAAAAATTTGAAATTTTAATAAGTTATAATTATTAAGAATCTTCACTTATGCATGCTAAAAATTATTGCGCAGCTGTAAAGGCTTAAAAAAACTACTGCGCAGCCTTTAAAGTTTTTAATTTTTAATTTAAAAGACATAAGTGAACATGTACAAGAACATGTTCCACATCTGGTACAAGAAAATGTATATGAAACCTGCACAAAAAAATATGTACAAGAATATGTACATTTTCTTGTACAAGTATATTTTCTTGTCCAGGATCTTGTACAAGTTCTGGTACAAGAACATGTCTCAATTCCGGATGCTGAACTTGTTCAAGAACATTACTCGAACATGTACAAGAAAATGTATAAGTTCATTAATGAACATGTACAAGAACTTGTACATTTTCTTGTACAAATTTTTTCAGCCGGGTTGTACTTAAGATCTCTCGCAGGTTCCTGTATGTTACAAAAATGTGACATCAAATTTTGTTTTGGCGATCCTGAATACCGCTGTTTAAGCAAATTTGCAATGAATTTAAGAAAAAGTTTTCCATAATAGATCTGACATTTTTAATTTTGATAAACTGACATCGGATTGGTAATCTGCGATCCCAAAATCCTCCGAGTAACAAATTTCAATCAAATCTGATGTAATTAAAAAAAGTCAACAACATTTTTTTCAAGTGTACATCATTGTTCAGATCAGTTCTGTCACTATATGTGTAACAAACAGTATTTTAAATACATATTAACTCTTTCATTCCTTTCATTTTAGATTTTCAAAGTGTTTGAAATGGAACCTCACCAGGAGTGTGCATATGACCATGTTGTTATTTATGATGGTGATTCTCCAGACAGTCATATATTAGGTCGTTTCTGTGGTAATAAAGAGCCTTATCCTATTTTGGCTACTGGAAATCAAATGTATATGATATTTAAAAGTGACTCTTCAGTTCAAAGAAAAGGTTTCTTGGCTACACATATGACTGGTGAATATTATTATCTTTAAGAAATAAAAGTGTTTTAATGTAACAAAAGGAATTAAAAATTTTCTATTTTGTTTATTACAGCCTGTGGAGGTCATTTAGTTGCAACAGAGCAAGTAAATTACTTATATTCCCATGCTAAATATGGCACGCATAATTATGATCCTAAAACTGATTGTGATTGGATTATTGAAGCCCCAAATGGCAAAAATGTTCACCTTGCATTCATATCTTTCAATTTAGAAGATGAACTAGAATGCAGTTATGATTTTGTTGAAATTCATTCAGGTTTAGATTCTTCAAGTCCAAGTTTTGGTCGTTTATGCGGCAACACAGTATGCAAAATTTCATTTCCTAAAATAAATTTTAAAGTTATATTTATATTACTATACAGAATAAGATACTTTCCTTTATGTCTTCAATAATTTTTAAATTCTTATTAAGTTTTCCAAGTAGCACGTAATATTACAGTAATATTAAAATGCCCGCCTTGTGGTATTACCGGTTAATATTATTGTAATATTATAGCAATATTACTGAAATATTACGGCAATATTACACGTTTATTTGAAATACATAAAAATTTCAAAGTTTTTATGATAAAACATAAGAAGATAAGAATTAATCAGTAAAATATTTTTAAATATTTTTAAAAATTTTTGTAATATTACTATAATATTACAGTAATATTACGTGTTACTTGGGTTTAAACGTATTCAATATAAAGGAAACAAATAATCAATCATTAATCAATTATTCACGCTCAATTTAAGCAATATTATTTAAATTAATTATTCTTAAAAATATTTAAATATTTTTTTTTTATTACAGAATACATCTGACATTATCTCAATGAACGAAGCATTGTTAATACGATTCAGAACAGATGATACTGTAGCAAACAAAGGTTTTGCAGCAACTTTTATAGCGATTGATAGACAAGATAGTGAAGAAATTCTTGGTGGAAAAGAAGATGAGGAAATCCAAAATCTCTAACCTTAATAGATAAATTGTACTGTTACCTTAAGTTCCCAATTAAAGGAAGAGATTCAAATTGTAATTGTATAAATTTTTATCTACTTCACAAAATGCTTAAACAGTGGGTCGAAAAGAAAAGTGTAATGAAACATAAAGAATAATTTTTTATTATTGTCTATACATAAAAACAAAAAGTATTAACATTACAACTAATCTCTGACTTGTAAAAAATATATAAATGACTTGTATAAAACTCATGCCATTACTTAAAATTACGATTGTAGATGATATACGATATACGATATAATGATATACTCATATATTACGTACAAATTATTATGCAAGTTGAAACAAGATCTTGAACATTTTTCTGTACTAGATCTGTAGCTGAACTCCTATCAGTTCTCATCAGTTCCTGTACAGGAAATTGAAAACATTCAGCATAACACATTGGAACAAGTTTCATCACTTCTTAAACGAATTATTATCAAAAATCAAAACAACCAAGATTTTCTTTCAGGATTGTATTATAGAACAAAAAAACGATATTTCGAGCAAAAATAAAAATAACCCATCAGTCCCTTCTTAAAAAATTTGATTTTTTCTTTAAAATCGGGTAATTTATCACTTTAAAATATATTCATGCAAATAATTATCAGAAAAATGAATATAGGAATGTATATATGAGGTAAAAATCCTGTAGCTGCATTTGACCCTTTTTTGAAAATAAAAAATAATTTTTGACTTTTTTTCAAAATCGATTACTTTTTTTCTTTTTCAAAAAAAGAAAAAATTGCAGATTTTTTAAGAGTTTTAATTTAAGAATTTTTTTTTTTATTTGATACAAGAGCGTAAATTTCTCACAAATGTAACCAATATTGGATTATGTGGAATGTTTACTAATCTTTTACGGATTTCAAATCTCTAAACCTTAAAATCGTAGTTGCTCCCTTTTTCAATATTTTTATAATTTACATTTCCCACTATGAAAAAAAATCGTTTTACTTAAATGTAAATATCTTTGGTTCCAGTGGACGGATTTTAATTTTCTTTTTTTTAAATTAAAGGTAATTAATTTTCCAAACAACTATCTATAGAATATTTTTCAATACTGTACCGTTTTCTTAAAATAAATTATTAAAATAGACTCTATTTTTTACTTGCTCTGGGTGATGTTATCCATGATATGCTTTATTTTATTTCCATAAACTTTACTACTTTTTTGTAAAAAAAAATCTTGAAAAAAGTGCATTTAGACGAGTCCCACTTAAGTGTAAAACCTTATATATCAATTGGGTAGATCCCTTGAAGACAATAATTAATCCTGATCTTCATGTGTAATACTGGTCTCATAAAATTAATAAATTAAATAAAATTTGATCGAATAAGTACAGCTTAAACAAAAAAAAAAAAGAAGTAAAGCTATTTCTTCCTCTTATACATGACCCGATGGAATTCGTGGAAGAATGCTTGGCTCGTATTTCACGAAAGCCAACTTAATATATAATAGTATCTACTAAAAAATTTATTTGTAATAAAAGACATAAATCAAATATATAAGGTAAAAATTATATATTTATTTATTATAGTAACATTGTTATTTAAATTTCTAAGAAACTGGACTACTGAAAAATTTCTTCGTCATAGATCTTAAGATCTCGTCTGTCTTTGTGTGCACTTTTTTGCGAATAATTAGCTGCAGCTGAAGACCACATGGAACTGGAAGTTGCATCGTTCATTGGTTCAATTATTGGTTGTCTCCTTGCCAATGATACTTTTAATTGAATTGATGAAACCATACTACCATCCATTTCATTAATTGCTCTTTCTGCAGCATCAGTTTTATCAAAAGTTATAAATCCTCGACTGCAATATAAAAAAATTCCATTAAAAGATATACTACTGAATCGTGAATTACGCAAAGGGCTGCTTCTTTTTTCTCAGTGACAAAAAATTTTCTTAAACCGCTGTGTCAAACGAAATGAGAATTTTAGACTTTTGTTTTTAAGTACATACAATAACTTCGTAAATGAATAACTTTCGAATCAAATTTCACATGTTAATATTCTCCGCAGGTTTTCTCGCAAAATACTTGATAGATTGAGTTAAAATTTTGTGGAGAACTCAAAAATAGTATAAGAATTTGTTGTCATGTTTATTAATATTTTGTAAAAAATTACATATTTGAGGAAAATTCAATATGTCAGCAATACGATTTTGATCATTTCCTCAAATATGGAATTTGTTAAGAATACATTTTTTGATAAAATATTAGTATAATCTGACACATGACAACTACCTTATACTGTTTTTGGGTTCTTTACAAAATTTTAGCTTAATCTATTAAATATTTTGCGAAAAAATCTGCGGACAATATTTACACGTGAAATCACAACAATTATAAAACATTAAACAACTTTTTTTTTGCAGACCCCTTTTATTTCACAAACAAGCTATTGTAACAACAAATAAGGACTAATAGTTCTAGGTCGATTGGTACAAAGATTTTCGAAAAATTAATATCTTTGATTTGTTAAACTCGTTATAAGTATATTAAAATTTTAATTTTTTAAAATTTGTAATACTAAATTATACTATATTTTCTGGAAAGATATTTGCTTTCATTGGTTTATTTCAGAAATAACTTTTAATTTTTTTTGAGATTAGATGGGAGTTATATTATCTGACATCTAGGGGTAGTTTTGGATTATATCTATTTGGAGAAATAAAAATTTCATCTGGAACAATGCTACATTTTAAACGATTCCCTGAAAGAAATTTTGACATTATGTAGGTTAGTATTTGATTCAAAGAGTTGATATCTACACTGAAAAAAAAAGTTCATTGAATCAAGTAAATGCATTTACTTGAGATACTTTACTTGAATCAAGCCAATATCATCTTAATGGAAGAAATTTATTTTCTTGTGCCAAGTAGTTATTAGCATTGGGCAATGTACTTGACATAAGAAAATGTGAGTTCCATACAAGCAAATAATGTTATTCTTTCAAAAAAAATATTTTACTTGCACGAAGTCCCAAAAAGTATTGAGATAAGAATATTATGTTCTTATGTTAAGTAAAGTACGTGGAGTCGTTTAGTTTCTTGAATCAAATCACTTTTTTGTTCACTTTAAAAACAGTTTTTACTTAATCCAACACTCATAGTCTTGAGACAAGAAAATCAGAATATTAATATAACTAAATATTTGTTTAAATTATATAAAAAGTTATATTGCTTGAAATAAACACGAATTAAACTAAATATTCTATCTACTTAGTGCATTTCTATATAATCGTGTTTCAAAAACATGGAATTTCTTAAAAGAATATTATATTCTCTTAATTAAAATAATTAATTTTCTCAGTAGAATTAAGTCATACAATTGAATCAAATCAATTTTTTGTTTCCTTTAAAACATTTTTTTACTTAATCCAACACTTATAGTTTTGAGCCAAGAAAATAAGAAGATTAATATAATTAAATATTTGTTTAAACCTGATAAAAAATTATATTGTTTGAAATAAACGTTAATTAAATTGAATTTTCATTGTTCTTAGTGCATTTCTATATTATCATGTTTCAAAAACATTGAATTTCTTGAATAAATATTATATTCCCTTAATTGAAATAATTTATTTTCTCGGTCGAATTAAGTGATGCAATCAAGCAATTTTCCTGAAGCAATAATATAAACTTGTATACATATTATAAGTTTGATTCCCTAATTTATTTATTCGAGTTGTTCAGTAAGTATACGTACATATATAAAGAAAATATTGTTATTAGAATAGGAAAAATATTTTTTTGTGTATCTGAAAAGTAACGCTATTTGATTAAGAATACTCATTATTGAAAAATACGATTATCTACACACATAAAAATGATTTGATTGAATCAAAGAAATCATTTTATAAAATCACTTATTAAGTCAAAAATAAAATTTATTTAATAGAAAAATTTAATTGTGTTGGTGTTTGATATTCGCGCCCTTACTGTTTTATCTCTTATAGAGGACTCTTATGTCGTATATACATGCACTACACTCACACATCTATAATTCTCACAAAGTCTAAAACGATTACTGTAACAATTCAATTCAGTCAATTTCCTTTTATACGTTTATATTAAATAAATCAAGTATCTTCAAATAATTTCGTTTAATGTTCGTTGTCCCACTCACGCTCGCTCCAATAAATTGATTTTAAGAAAAAATGATTTTGGAACGTTTTGAACTAAAGAAATTTTTTTAACTGAAATATTTTTTCCAAACTTAAGCACGCTGATTTACTACGAGCGTTCACTGCGCGCGCATCAGCTACGTAAAGTCGCAAATTAAATTAAATTAAACATTAATCAATCCAAGTGTTTAATATACTTTAAGCATTAATTCAATTTCTAGAAATAATATTATATTATCTTAAATGAAATAATTTATTTTTTCAGTTGAAATAGTGATATAATCTTGAAGGAAATCATTTTTTTGTTTCCTTGAAAATATTTTTTATTTAATTAATTAACTTGATTAACGCATAGTTCTTGAATTAAGAATTTAGTATTTGGCAGAAGTAAATATGTTATTATCGCAACCCAATATTTTATTTTCCCGAAGTACCAAAAAGTATTCAATCAAGAATATTAGGTTAATCTAATTAATTTTCATTTCTTGAATCAAATAGTTTTATGCATTTGCTTTGAATTAATTTTTTACTTAATACAAATCCCGTATTCTTGATCCCAGAAAATATTTCTCTCCAAATGGATGTGAAACTTAAATAGGAGTTTTTGAAAACCATCAATTGGGTCAGGATGGCATAGTGGTCTACGTTACTGCCTTTGGTGCGCGCAACTCGGGTTCAGTTCCTCGGACCGTGAAAAATTTTCATTCAAGGTATACTTGTTTTAGTTGTGTTAAGTATTAATTAAATATAAATGTGTATGTAAAATAAACATTATTTAAATAAATAATAAAAAATATGAATGTTAATAATAAATAAAAATGTTTGACTTAAGAATTAGACATGGTGGGATAAGGAAGGAGTGTAGGAGGGGAGGGGGGTAAATTCAAGTAAATATTTACTTGTATTGGAAAAATATTTTTTTGGTTCAACTCCATAAGTTTTCTCAAGTCAAGAAAATATTTTCTTGAGTTAATATATATATGACCTTGACTTAATATATTTTACATTTCTTAGAAGTCAATAAACTTCTTAGACGAATTCCATATTTTCTTGGACCAAGAACATATGGTCTCCTCACAATATAAATAATATTTTGATTTAAATCTTGTCTTACTTGATCCAATATTGCAAAGATTTGAATGAATCAAATGAAACAATTTATTTGACTACATATATTCTCAGAACAAGAAAATATTTTCTTCCTTTAATGTATTTTACATTTGTTACAAGTTGATTAATATATTGCTCGAATTCCATATTTTCTTGGATCAAGAATATATGCTCTCGTCCCAAATATACTATCTCAAGACAATCGTTTACTTGAACCAATGCCGTAATTGACTTGTCCCTATTCAATTCCACGGTTTACTTGAAGCAAGTAAAATTTTCTTGATTCAATACTATTTTTTTTCAGTGTATCAACAGGGTATTACTATACAGGGTGGTTTTGTATCAAAATTTTAGTAATTTAAAAAAAACATAAATAGTTATGTTCTTATAATTTTTTACGGCTATATAAAATTACAAAATAGAAATATATGGATATTTTGAATTGAGGGATGTTTTAATGGTATTTTTGAACTAAGATAGGGGTAGAATTTTTTTTAATTCATTAGTCTTTAAAATTTGTCATAATATATTACAAATTTGTGTCCTGATTAGTTAAACATAAAAAATAGGTCTTTTTAGGGTTCCGTACTCGGTTCGGAACCCTATTAATATCGGTTATTTTGAAATCGTGTACCCCCTCTCTAGCGGCCACACGAATTTATCTGGAGGGCTGAAATTTGGTACACCTATGTATTTTTACGTGAAGATTACAAAAAAATATAGCGAGCATGATTGGAGTTGATTATCATAGCGTTGTCAAGGAAAAACCATGAATTTTTACGAAAAATACCTAAAAAAAATTACCCCCCCCCCCCCCTCCTAGCAGCCACATCTTTTGACATAAAGAGCTCAAATTTGGTACACTTACGTATTTTTACGTGAAAATTACAGGAAAAATATAGCGAACTTGATTCGGATCATTTTACACAGCGTTGCACAGTGGCCGATTTCCCGAAAAACCTGGCCAAAAGTCAAAAAAATTTTTTTAGAAATTTATACTTTTTATTGTTGAATATTATAAAGGAGGGTTCACTGCATAATTTTGCGAAAAAAAATTACACTTTTTTTATCACCAATTTATTATGTGAACAAGTAAAAGTGATCTTTGCCAGAGATTTACTCAGAACGTTTCATAACTATAAATTTTCGTCACAGTTAAAATAGTGAAAATATACTAATATACAGCAGATTTTTGAATATCTTTTTTTGGGAATTATTAACAAAGGTGTATGAAATATGTTGAATGTATTTATAATCACATTTAAAACGTACAGTTTTTAAAAAATGACATTAAACATCGCTATTCATGGCGACGATTTTTGTATTGTTTTATCAACGTAAATCAAGAAAATAGTTGTGAAATCCACCGATATCCGCGCTCTACCTGGTATTATCATAAACTAGAATATATTTTTAATTCATTTTAATTGAAATCAGTTGCCCCAAGCTGCCCCTGCAGTTTTGGTATCACTTTTTATTTCACTAAGCGCGGTTTACCGACAGCGCGTTGCACCGGCCGGCGGTGCAACTGAACGTGAAAGACTGACTTTTTCTTCATTCGCATTCGCTTTAAAC